CCAACTAATTTCCCATGAATTTTATGTTGTTGTTGTTGGTTGCTTATGGAATGTGATTTTTGCCCTACGTTCTGCTCGCCGAAAGGTCGTGGTCGAAGTGAAGAGGCCTAATGAGGTGGGGGGTGGGGGGCGAGTGAAAGAAATGTGAAGTATATGATTTTCTATATTTTTCTAATTGACATGTCATTAAGTTAACGGTCCAGTCAGCATTTTCATTTTCCATGTCATCAAAAAATTAGCGGAATTAACGGAGGTTGACAGAGACCAACAACTGGTGAGTAACAGTGAAACAATTCGTAAAGTTAGTGGTGAATAAGAAAGAAAAGTGATTCGGATGGCAAACGTGAAAGATGGGAGCAATTATGGTGAGTACTACAAAAGTAGTAATCACTGTGGCTACTAAGGGTAGAAATGGTATTCTGGTGCTTATTGTTTTGGTAGTGATGCTAAAATTTATTGGTAGTGTTTACATTGGGTATGAATGGTATTCTGGTGCTTATTGTTTTGGTAGTGATGCTAAATTTTATTGGTAATGTTCAAATTGGGTAAGAATGGTATTCTGGTGCTTCTTGTTTTGGTAGTGATGCTAAATTTTATTGGTAGTATTTATATTGTGTTATTAGTGTATATCTGTTTCGATGGATTGGTATTCAATATTCAAAATGAGTTGCTTGACCACTTCCAGAAATACCAATATCATTATAGAAATAAAACAAGAAATCAATGCCAAACATAAAAAAAAAAACTATACCAATACAACCAATCTAGATGAACCAATACAACTACAGAAAAAATAGTACCATTACACTACAAAAAACTACCAATATAAATAATCTATACCATTATAAGAATCAAACCAATACCAAAATCAACCAGCACCACTACTACAATAAAAACAAAACAAGATCATTCCATAAATCAAATCACTACCACTGTGAAGACCAAATAAATACCATTCCATACCACTATGAAAAGCATATATGGACTTTCAAAAACCAACTGCGAGAGATGACAATGACATCGTCGTCAAATGATAAGGTTGCTGTTGTGCGCCCTCCTTATTCGATCGGAATTCCCATCCCTGTCGCTCCAAAGGCGTCTCCTCCACCGACGTCACCGTCGACCCCAACTGCAACATCTGGTTCTGCCATCACCATCTCACGCAATCGTCTTCTGAAGAGAGAGAGAGAGAGAGAGCAGGAGGAGGAGATAGAGAGAGAGAGCAGCAGCAGGAGGGTACGCATAGCGGTGGTCAGGGGTAACCGGAGGGGAGGGAGGCCACTGCGGTGGCCGAGGGTGGCCGGCACTGAGTCATCGTCAGGGATGGTGTAGGTGGCCGGCGGGATTAGTGCGACGAAAGTGGTGGAGGCGGCTGCGGTGGGTTTGGCTGAAGGGAGGGTAGGACTAGGGTTTGGGTAGATTATATAGAATAATCCTATGTGGTCACTTTTTCATTTCCAAAATTATCTTAAAAGAATCTTAACCGTAACTCCGTAAGATTAAAAAAGAAGGGAAAATAGTTAATCAAATGGTATATAAAGAGGTTGCCATCGTGATTACTAAAAAACAAGTAATCACCATAAACCATTCCCGTGAAAGATTTATGTAATTTGAGTGACCAATCATGTAATGTTGTAATTTTCTATTGCTAGGTTAAGGTGTCGTAAACATAACCCACATAAAATACCAGAAGCATATCTACCATATATAGTGATCACTAAAAGGGATAGGGTTCGAAATCTGGCGTCAATGGGGCGTGAACCCGAACATTCCAGTTAAGGCCAAATAGCCTAAGGCCAAATAGATGGCAGAAACTCACCACTAGATCGTGACTCACAAAAGAGGTCGTGAGATATGCAATATTTCATGAGCCAAACCATAGTTTGGGAGCAGTTGTAGAAGTCATGGTTTATAACCATGACATCAACAAAGACCGCAACCTATGTAAATAAAACGGTGCAGTTTGGGTCGACGTCATGTTTTAGTGTATGATGTCACGACCATTTGGTATCAAAACCGTTAAAAATTGAACAGAGTAAATAAGTCACGGTTCATAACAAAAAGTCACAGCTAGATCGTAACTCGGAAAAGAAATCGTGAGATATGCAAGATTCCAGGATCCAAACCATAGTTAACGGTTTACAACAGAGGCCGCAACCCGTGTAAATGAAACGGGGCACTTTAGGTCGACGTCACGGTTTATTGCCCGATGTCACGACCATGACATGTGATTGTGACTTGCACAGTTCTGTGTATAAATTGTGGAGGACGAGTTTTAGGGAGAGATAGCAGTAGCAACCTCCGAGAGAGAGAGAGAGAGAGAGAGAGAGAGAGAGAGAGTAACAAACAAGGAGCCCTAAATGGTGATTGAAGACTTCAATTCTCAATTGGAGACAAGATTTCCAACCAAGGAGTGAAGATTGGAGCTTTAGAAGATGAACCTAATCACAATGATGTTGATTTCCTTTCTTGAGTTTGTGATTCTTTCTCTTTCTCTCACCATGGAGTATACCCATACCTGGGTGTGTAGAACTCTAGCTATATATGTTAGGATTTGATTTTGAATGATTCATATGCTTGATTACACTCTTGATTATAAAATGAATTGAGGTACTTTCATGAAATTGGTTGGGTATTGATAAAATTCTCCAATTTGATATATTAACCTAAAGTAGAGAATATCCAATTAGGTTGATTAAAGAATATATTCAATTCTTCATAACGGGTCAATTGATTGAGCGTGATATTGCACTACTATGTCATATTGGATCGAGATCCTTTAGTGGGAGTCTAAATTGCATGCATTAGGTGTTCTATTTTGGCGGATGTAAAAACTCTCCCTCCCGATAGTTCACCCTAAGTGAGTTTGGATAACTAAAATAGGGAGTTCAAGCGGGTTTAGGCTAGAGGAAAGCACACCTGAGTGACATTCTCTTAATAGAATTCACACCAATCTTCACTTGGTTTTCTTGCTAGTTGATTAGTTCAAACCAAACCTTGACCTACTAGATAACAAATAGTTCACAAAGTAATAGTAGATTTCCCGCCCGTATTGATAATTATAATTACTTTCGCTATACTACACTCGATTAGTGGTTGCACTTGGCCTTTGGTTGGGATAGTAATTAGGAACGAGTCAATTGCCGTACAAATATATTAACACATCCAAAAAAATGGTGAAATGAACCAACACATAAAACCCAATTTTGTCTTAGATTGATGGGTCCAATCATGGCGACTTAGCAGTTAGTGATGATTAATGAGTTGTGTGAATTGATGATGGTTGATGATTGTGAATGTGAGAAAACTAGATGATGTTGATGGAAGAGAATTTATTAATTTGAGGGGGATAAGTAAAACTGATCCAAAGATTTGATCTTACTCTATTAATTCAATTCAATTTGGTCCAAATTTTTAAAGATTTAAATCTTGAATAATGTAGAATTTTCATTTTAATAAATATTATAGAAAATCATGATTGAAACAGGTAAGTAATATCATAAAAGTGTAAAATTTTATGATTTGAATCGAGATTTTCACTAAGAATATGGCAAAGAACAAAGCGTTAGTGTCCAGTTTCTGGTTCTAGAAGACAGCTGCATAAGAATTGGACGAGAGTAAGCTTCAATCTCGAGTATCTTTCAATTATATAACAACTGCTAGTATAAAATATATGACAATTCTTTGCTGTTACTTGCTTGCTGGTCACAGTAAGTAGAATATAGGTGTTGCAACTTTAACGAAATGAATAACTTGACCACCAAGAGAGCAGCTAACGTGATGCTGCAGATTATACAGTGCCCTGACCAATAAGCTTCAAGTAATTTTCAACTATCTTCTCCCGCGAGAAATCAGTGTAATACCCTTTCCCTACACTAACTCCTTCTTCCACACCAAGCCGCTCGACTTCTTGCTGAACTCTCTCCAACATTACTCGGTTCCAACAAGTTACACCAACTCCTTCTTCAAAATGTCAAAGCTCAAACCTTCACTCGAAAAAGAAGGTCAAACCTTTGAGTTGAGAACCAACTTCGGCTGCCAAGGACTTAGCAACCCAAGCTGCCTGGCCCAGCGATGCCTGAGCAAGTGGATGGAAACAGATATGGTCCACAACACCAAGTCTAGGGTGAGACCCAGCATGATGCTCAAGGTCAATTGCTTGAAACGCAGCCTTAACCATGGCAAACACTTAACTCTTCAATGGACAATTATCTGCAGGTGACGGGTTTGGATCCAAACTTGCAACAATTGTGTATCCAATTCTATTCTTGGTGACATCTTCAAACTTGTTGATGATTGTGCTTTAGGGAACAACTTTGCTGCTCTTTCAATCAACTCCAATGCTGCCTTGTTCTGCTCTCGGATATGTACAATTTGCAGCAAGCAAGCCCCTGCTTTAGCACTGTTTAACTTCCAGCCACCTTGCAAACTACTACAAGCTGAAACAAACAGATAATGTGAGATAAGATGTTCAAAAGATTCATGTGGCTGACATGCAACCACACAAAGCCTGAAAAAAGCAAAAATCAAAAGAATTCATGAATTATCATGTAGCTGTTAAAGGAGCCATACATTTTCCCTGTTTTGTTTGAGGCTCTGAAACCTAAGTTGCAAGACAACAAAACTGCTCCAGTTCATGGTTTTGTATGTGACTAGTAGAATTCCCCTACGAAGTAGTAAGATAGTGAAGATTTAATCTCATTCAGTCCCATGGTTAAGAAAGTGTAAGGAAATAGATAAACATTTGTACCAGCAAGCCTTTCTTGGATTCCATTCGAAATATAATCCCATAAGAATAGACAGACATCAAAGCAACCAGTTTACAATGCTGGAGATCCAGCGCACTACCTCACAGTAAAACATGGCTAATGAAGTAATTGAGGGGGGATGGAGCAACAGAAAAAAAGATCAGGATATCCCTAAGAGCGTACTACTTCAAAACTCCATTTCTCGAGGCTTTGGATATCCATCATACTCTAACTTCACACCCAGGCCAGCTCTTATGACCGGAACTTCAGCCTAAGACTATCCATTATCACTTGAATGCTCTCATCTTCAGGATCCAAAAGCGGGTATCTATCGATCAGATCCTCCATTTGCTTGATAGAATTCTGGATTCGGGTTGAGAAATGTGCCAGAGCTACCTTCATTGCAGAATTCCAGAGATTAATGCAACCACGATAGAATCCAAGTTCTTCTCCAATCTCAAAGCCCGATTTCAAGCCGACTTGTTTGGCATCTTCTTTGCCAGCAACTAAGCCATCTTTGTACCCTTCATCATAGCCTTCTTTATAGTGTGTCTCCTCTAGATTCAACGAGGAATCAAATATGTCTACAAATTGAGATTGTGACTCCATATGATCTGTGTTTCTTTCCCCCAAATGGTTTCTAGATGCACCAACCTCAAATTGCAGAACCTTCTCTTTGCCTGCCACGTCTTACGATGGGAATCTAAAGATACAGAGAATCACGATATATAAGGTAATAAGCTCATAGTTCGACGAGTCAAACATAAATGTCTGACGATACGACGAAAAAATTCTTACTTCCTCACATTCATAGGCAATACATGTAACTATAGCAGATCCAATTAACAATGGACAAGAATGAAGATAGCCTACATAGGTAAAGATTTCTATGAGCTTAGTACATAGGTAAATGCATTACATGCTCAGATCAAGTTCCTTGGGCTCCAGGCATGAGGGAATGGAAACAAATTTAGCCAAAAAGCCATGTGATCATCGCAATTACAAATTTACAATACGCAGTCTCTTAAAGTTTTTGGAAATATTTTGAACTAAAATCTCAACCCCGCAACCAGTACTTCGGCATGAATACATACACACATAAACGGACGCAGTTACCCAAGAATAGACGTTGGTAAAATTGAATCCGCCATATCCAAATCCAAACAGAAAGCAGCTGCTTCAGAATTCCCATCACCTCCTAAATAGAGAGAAACGGTTCCTCGTAGTCTAAACAACTGAGAGACCAACGAAACTAAGTACAACCCACGAACTCAAATCCAGCACGCATAGCTCCCAACCCAGCAAAGGTGTGACGGAATACCTCAACACGCATAGACTGTAAAATAACAGCAACGCGGAAGCAAAATAACACGATTGATTTACGTGGTATCCTCGTTCAGTGTGAACGAGACTAATCCACGGAGAAGCTCTTCAAGAGCTTCTCGGCTGAACTTTTATTATCAACTCCACAACTCAACCAACAACAACAACTTCGAACAGTAGCATGCATAAGGCTATATATATAGCTACCCTAACCCGAACAACTAATGAACTAGGGTTAGGCTTCTCCACATGGTGAAGTGCAATTTACTACCACTAACTGCTAACTAGTGACAATTAAGGACAACGTTTAATGACTCGCAACACTCCCCCTCAAGCGGAGGCGTGAATGTCATGCAAGCCAAGCTTGGAAGCGAAATACGTGAACTGTTCACTGCCCAAACCTTTCGTGAACAGATCAGCTACTTGGTCACTAGTTGCAATCTTCTGCGGACTAACTTCTGACGACTCCACGCGCTCTCGCACGAAATGACAATCCATTTCAACATGTTTTGTGCGTTCATGGAAAACCGGATTCGCCGCAATGTGTAATGCTGCTTGATTATCACAGTACAACGTAGTAGGTCCATCCTGACGCACGCCTAACTCCTGCAACAGCCAACGCAACCATATCAATTCACTTACCGTGACCGCCATCGATCTATATTCGGCCTCAGCTGAAGACCGAGCCACCGCCGACTGCTTTTTAGTACGCCATGACACGGGACTTTGTCCGATCTGAATAAAATATCCAGAAGTCGAACGCCTCGTTTCCTAACAACCTCCCCAATCTGCGTCACAGTAAGCAGTCAAGTTCTGACCGCCATCTGCCGGAAAGAACAATCCACGACCAGGAGAGCGCTTCAAATAGCAGAGAACTCGATACGCGGCCTTTACATGCTGTTGTCTAGGAGAGTGCACTGCCTGACTTAATATATTAACTGCGTACGTGATATCCGGACGAGTCACTGCGTGAGACAGTAAGCTTCCAACTAACCTTCTATACGCCGACGGATCACTCGCTGCTGGCCCTTCCACACGGGTGAGGTGGTGGTTTTGTTCAAAAGGAAATGAACAAGGTTTAACTGCAAGTGCGCCTGCATCATCAAGAATATCCAACGTGTACTTTCTCTGAGATAGTGAAATTCCACGTCGTGATCTAGCAACTTCAATGCCCAGAAAATACTTCAGTGGTCCCAAATCTTTTATACTGAACTCTTTCATCAGAAACGCCTTGACTCCCTCAATGACTTCCCAACTATCCCCCTAGGACGATATCATCGACATAGATGAGAGCAAAAACGAACGCCCCGTTCTTCCGATATAAGAACAACGAGTGATCAGCCCGAGAGCAACTAAAACCAAATGAGAGAAGAGCCATGGTAAACTTTTTATACCAATTTCGTGATGCCTGTCGCAACCCATACAGAGACTTGCAAAGACGACATACTCGTGTGTCCCCCGGTCGAGCAAATCCATCGGGAACACGCATGTAAACTTCTTCGTCAAGGTCGCCATGGAGGAAGGCGTTATTCACGTCTAACTGCTGAAGAAACCAACCACGTTGTGCAGCAAGGGCAAGCACACAACGCACTATAACCAACTTCGCAACAGGTGCAAAAGTATCGTGGAAATCGATCCCTTCCTTTTGCGTGTAACCTTTGGCAACGAGACGTGCCTTAAACCTTTCGATGCTGCCATCGGGACGATATTTAATTTTGAACACCCACTTGCATCCTATGAGTTTCTTGCCAGGGGGTAAAAACGCCATTTCCAATGTACCATTGGCGACCAGAGCAGCATACTCCCGCTCCATCGCCTCACGCCAACATGCGTGTAATATAGCTTCAGAAAAAGTACCAGGTTCAACCACACGGGAGATAGCTGCAACAAAAGCTTTGTACCCTGGGGACAAACGATCATAGGTAAGCACATCATGCAAGGGATATTTAACACAAGAGTGGGCTGAGGGCAACGTGACCTCATAAATGTCAAGGTGACGAGGAGCTTGACGATGGCGATATCCACGGCGAAGCTCGACAACCGGAGAGGGTGAGGACTCCGGCGATGACGTAGTTGTGACCGAGGACGGGCTGGCGGCAGAGTCGGAATGACGAGGAGAAGAGCTGGAAGGGCTGGTCTCGCCTGTGAGAGCAGGAGAGGAGGGTCCAAGAGTCAAAACCGCATCACTAGACTCGTCGTCAGGAAAAAAGGCCACTTCATCGTCATCATGACCATGCGAACGATCACCAGGGACGAGACTGGGATGACTATCATCCATGGAAACCGTCGGCATTGGACCAGGACGAGGAGATGCCGAAAACTGAAAAGGAAATTGATCCTCACAGAACACAACGTCACGAGACGTGAACAAGGACTGGGTGTCAAGATCAAATACACGATATCCTTTCTGGGCAGCAGGATATCCTAAGAAAACACATTGTCTCCCCCTTTCTGCAAACTTGTCTAGGGAAGAATTCGTGTCCTTGGCATAAACCAAGCAACCGAACGTGCGGAGATGTGTATACAAGGGCTTCGTACCAAAAAGCCTTTCGAAAGGAGTATCATTCGCAGTCACCGTAGAGGGAAGGCGATTGATAAAATAAGCAGCGGTAAGAACACACTCTCCCCAGAACTTGATCGGCAGGTGTGCATGGAAACGAAGAGAACGGGCTGTCTCCAGCAAGTGCCGATGTTTACGTTCAACAACGCCATTTTGTTGTGGCGTATCAGTACATGAGGTTTGTAACATGATCCCCTCCTGCGCGTAGTACTGTTTAAGAACATTGGTTTGGAATTCCATGCCGTTGTCAGCCTGAATGCGAACAACAGAAGACCGATATTGACGTTTAACCTGTTCACAGAACATCATCAAATAACTAGCAACTTCTGACTTGTAACGGAGGAGGTATACCCACACAGCACGGGAAAAATCATCAACCAGAGTAAGAAAGTAGTGAGCACCACTCAAAGACGGGTCCTTATAACCACCCCAAATGTCAACATGAATCAACTGAAATGGACGAGTAGTCTTAATCGAACTGGACGGGAAAGGACTACGTGTCTGTTTAGCTCGTAAACAAGATGAGCAATGATCCAAAGTAGACTGTTTAGAACTCGAAACGAAAGGTAGCAAAGACAGTTTCTCCAACGACGGATGACCCAACCGAGCATGCCACAAGGTAAGTGACGTAGAGGCACCACGGATTGTAGCATGGGCAGCGGCCTCTTGAACTTCATCGAACAACCGGAGATAATACAATCCATCATGTTGATGGCCCATCCCAATCATCTTCTTGCAACGCAAGTCCTGCAGAATGCAGAAATCATGAAGGAAGATAAGTGCAATGGGAAATTCTTTCGTGAGGCGACTGACGGATAAAAGATTGCACTTGAACTCAGGGACCAGTAACACACGAGGTAAGACCATTCCGTTACTCAAGCAAACCGAACCAACCTGATCAACATAAACCGAGACTCCATTGGGAATCCCAACACGTAAATCATTCGGTTTAAAACCGTTAGAGAGAAGACCAACATCATGAACTATGTGTTCATTACATCCGGAGTCCAAAACCCATGTAGTAGAGCGAGAAGAAATACCAGTGAGTTTGGTTGCGGATGCTTCAGGCGAGAGGGATGAACCAGCCAAGAAATCCTTGAGCTGCGCCAGCTGCGACAAGCTCAAACCAGCAACAGGGCTTTCACCAACCTCAACAGCAGCTGCTCTTGGAGTGGATTTTGGCCGATTAGACCCCTTTTGTCGACCAGCACCATCGGGTTTAGTAGATGGTGGACGGTCAGGCCAGCCAATAAGATCAAAACACCTCTCTTTGAGATGACCAACTTTGCCACAGTGAGTGCACTTGTGGGGACCACGACCCGCGGAAGAAGAATCACCCAAGGTCATATCATCACGAACCAAAAATGCACCAGCCTCAGAAGTGGAACGATTTTGGGAAGCAAGACGACGCTGATGAGCATCATTGGAGACGAGTTGATATGCCTCTGACAACGTGGGTAATGTCTTCATAGATAGGACCTGAGTTTTGACAGTAGAAAATGACTCATCGAGACCCATCAAGAAATCATACAATCGAAAAGTTTCTTCACGGACTTGATTCTTCCGTTCCGCCCCGCAAGTACAGTGACCACAGGTACAAGGATGGAGCGGAGCCATAGATAGAACCTCTTCCCAATAGGTGCGAAGCTGAGTATAAAACGCAGAAACCGACAATTTTTCTTGAGGAAGATGACAAATACGGCGACGTAAATCGTAAACCCGCGGC